ATGCCTTTATCGCCTGCAAATTCTCCCCACCCACAGGCTTGCAGCTTCTTCTCTGCAAAAGCCTCTACCGTTATTTTGCTATTAGATCTGGAAGGTAACTATGAAGTTCTAGGGGGGAAAAGACAAGAAATTCATTTGTCTGTCCGTGTGTCTGTAACAGGTGGTCAGAGCTTGTCTTGCTATTATTTTACTGGGCACCCACATGGGGAAAAAAAGAAAAATGTATACAAGGTGGTGCCTCTAAAAGACACTCCTGAGGCAACATGCCATTAAACCCAATGCAAGCAATCTCACCTGCAGGAGACTCAAAAGGGGAGTGGAAGAGTGGAAGAGTTACAGAGGAAGAAAGTTCTCCCAACATCACAGCACCTCCCTCAGGGTCTCAGAGCAGCTTCAGAACAGAGAGAACACAACCAACTTGAAACACCAAGACAAGACAGAAACCCAACTTACTGTAAAGACAAGGTGAAGGCAGACATGCTGAAACCAGGAATCCTGTCCAGGAGTTTTTCTTCAATATATTTTTCAACTAAGCAGATCTAAAATGAGAAATGCTACATTTTTAATTTATGTACTTCCTGTGTTTATATGTTGTCCCAGTTGTGAGTGGCATACATACCTGGCATCCATCAACCAGGTTAAAATAACAATAATTAAAACAATAGACACTACAGAAGCTATACCTATGCTTGTACTCTGGTGAACATAAATTAAACAAGCAGCTACCACAAGAGGGGACATGACACCATCTCAGCCTCTAAGCCTGTGGGAATAGCTACAGTGGGGCAAAAAAGTATTTAGTCAGCCACCAATTGTGCAAGTTCTCCCACTTAAAAAGATGAGAGAGGCCTGTAATTTTCATCATACTGAAAGACCCAGCCACGTTTCATCTTCTGAAAGACCCAGCCACGTTTCATCTTCTGAAAGACCCAGCCACGTTTCATCTTCTGAAAGACCCAGCCACGTTTCATCTTCTGAAAGACCCAGCCACGTTTCATCTTCTGAAAGACCCAGCCACGTTTCATCTTCTGAAAGACCCAGCCACGTTTCATCTTCTGAAAGACCCAGCCACGTTTCATCTTCTGAAAGACCCAGCCACGTTTCATCTTCTGAAAGACCCAGCCACGTTTCATCTTCTGAAAGACCCAGCCACGTTTCATCTTCTGAAAGACCCAGCCACGTTTCATCTTCTGAAAGACCCAGCCACGTTTCATCTTCTGAAAGACCCAGCCACGTTTCATCTTCTGGCTCTCACAGACCTGTAACTACTTCTTTAAGAGGCTCCTCTGTCCTCCACTCGTTACCTGTAGCTATGATGAAAATTACAGGCCTCTCTCATCTTTTTAAGTGGGAGAACTTGCACAATTGGTGGCTGACTAAATACTTTTTTGCCCCACTGTATGCTTTTGTGGCTTTCTTAGTTCCATTAGGGTTGGGGCCATTTGAATCTCGGGGGAATGCTGTTCCTCACTCCGTGATCCCTGTGGGTGACATTCCTTGACAGAAAGAACACTTGCTGACGACATAGGAGCTTCCACTGGACATCTATTCATTATCGGTCCTCTTCAACCACTGGGCTGGCTGGGAATTCTGAGATGAGTCCCAAATAATTTTGAGGATAACAAGTTGGGCGATGCCTACTACATGATGCCCATACACAACAGGATATTACTGGCAATACTTCAGTCTACCAATCAAAATATCTGCACCTGATTTTCCACCTCAAGAAAGTGACTGGCGTGAAAGATTTTAAACAGTCTTTGTAAACACAATGAGTCGAGGATCCAGACTTCAGGACACAACTAAAAAATAACAGGTTACCATTCAGAAGCTAAATATGACCCAGGGATAATTCAGACTGCATACTTCTGATTTAGCTCTTACAGCTGCACCTTTAATGGATCTGTGGCAAAAATAAACCCTCTGCCTGCTTAATCTGGTATTAAAGGTACAGTTATCTGTGTTTTATTCAATTAGGCTGCAGTGTTGGATGTGCTCTCTTTTTCAAGAACTCAGCAATTAAGAATAGATACAAAGGGTTGTAAAAGGCATAAGCAGATGTACAAAGTGCCAGTGGAATGGAAAATAGGTTTTGCAATGCAAGGTTAAAGGTAAGCAACCTCACGTCCAGCTCAACTTGTCCTCTTGGCAGCAATCTGAAAGCCTGGTTCGCCACTGCCTTCTTCCAGGATGCTGTTTCAATCTCCTGGGCAAGTCCACAGCCCTGAGGTCCCTGGCAGCCTCCCAGAGGAGTACTGCTACCCATGTGCCACCTTGCTTAGCTTTCCTGAGATCAGATAAGATCAGCTGGATGCTGTCACCTCTTTAGGCATGTGAAATAAATAGTACAGCAAATACATATCTGGCAGGAGATTAAAATAATCTTGTCTTGCTATGCAGGGAGAAACATTTCTGTAAGTTATAAATCCTGGGAGTTTGGTAAATAAGATTTGAGATAGACCATACAATTACTTTTTTTTTAAAAAAGGAACTATTCCTCCGTATTTAGCATTATAAATTATTTGTATCTCTTGCCTGGGAAAATGTTGTCAAAGCGCCATGAACTAGTAAGGTAGATGAAATAAACTGTAAAGCAGATTGATCTATCTTACTAGCTCATGGTGCTTTGAAAACATTGTGGTGTATTTTTAAATTAAGTAAATATTGTACTTGTAAAAGTACATTTGCATTTTAGTAAAAAGTAAAATTGCATTTTACAATTCTTGGTGTGTATTTCAGAGCCCTTGAAGAAATGATGGCATATCTGAAGTGCATTGGGGTAATTAAACAAGATGCAGAGAAGGTACTCAGAAGAGAATTCCTTCATGCTGGCTTGCATTGTTTGCTGGGGTTCAGCTGCGCAACCTCTGACATTGCCTTCACAAGCACTGGCCAGGCTGGATGAAGTGACAGGGCAGGTGATGAGGCCACTCCTGCCTGTCACCTGCAGAGCTTCCTGGATGCTCTACAAAGCCACACGTTTCTTGGCATATGAATGAAGCCAGAAGACCCTGCACATTCTTGCCCAGCTCAAACTTTTAGCATCTTTATAAACAAGCCCATCAGTAATTTGGCCTCTGCATGTGCTACAGAAGAAAACCTCATCTATATGGACAAAAAAGACCATCACAGGAACACAAACTTACATATTCATTAAAGATAGGTGTGTACACTAGTTTATTCTCCTCCGTGTCATCAAACTCTTGGTAGTATTTATCCATGAAGTTTCTTTGTATCAGTTGGAAGTCATCATCTGAAATCACAAAACAGCTGCATCCAGTGTGGCTATTTAGCTGAAAGACAGTAGCCACATTCATTGACCTGGTACATTCAACTTGAAATCCAGCACATTGTGCTCCATGTCAGCCATGACAACAGCACAGCTGCAACTTGTTGGGGCACCATCTATGCAACCACTTGCATTTATTGCTAGCTAGAAAAGCCTCTTGCAGGATCAGAAGTTCTTAGAAGCAAGGCTGAGTCTCCTAAAAGCCTTTTGGAAGTTTCACTGGATAAATGGGGTTGGATAAGCAACAGGGGACAATGTTTATTCCCTTTTTTGTGATTAATTAACATGGTGGTTTATGCAGGAATAGCAAACTTCTTGAGCAAATGGGCCTTGAGTAGATTGTTTGATCATTCTGAACGCTCACCTGATCATCTATCACGGAACCCCCTCAAGTTCTTGTGAAACCCCAGGGTTCTATGGCACATAGCTTGGAAACTCCTGTTCCAGATAATTTATGCTCTTACAAGACAACACAGATCAAATCTATCTAGCAGACATATTAAAAATAGCAACACTAAAGACATTTTATTTAAAATCTTCAATGAACTTGGAAATAATAGATTTAAACAGCCATCTAACAACAGTCATGGTTTTGCTTCAAGGTCTTCCTCAGATGAAGAGCAAGTCCAAAAGAAGATATCTCTGTGGGCATCTGCTCATCGTTCTGGCAAAACTGATGGTCTGAGCAGATGCCTTTGATCCCAGGGGCAGCAATAGTACTTTTAGACCTTAGGTCCCACACCAAGTCAAAAACAGACTACCATCCCACCCAGCAGGCTCTGGCCTAGACCAGAAGCCTCCCTCCTCAAGAACACACTTAGTTGAGGGTAGAAGAACCCAAAGAGAGGCAGGAAAATGCTCAGTTACCCTCAGAAACTTGAAATGGGTTATTCAGGAGCAACCTTCTGAGAGAAGCCAGGTCTAATCACAGCTGGTTGTGCTCAGATGAGGACAGGGTTTCTAAGTATGTAGAAAACAGCCCAGCTTGGTACATTTGCTGCAAGCAACATCATTCAAGCATAATAATGCCTTGGTACAAAGAGCTCACTAATGTTTGACTTGGCTGCCTATTCCTCTTCAGGCTGTTCTCCTGGTGAACCTGGACTACATTTATGACTGAGATTAGGTGAATATATTTTTTATGATTATCGCTCAGATAGAAGCTGTTGTTTGTGAGGCTGGAGTACTGATGAAGGCTTTTTTGAGACAGTATTAACTGTTAAAGCAGAACTCACCCATTACAATATCTTCCAAATATCCTACAATAGCATCAAATTCAGCATCAGAAGGTGATGAGCTGAAATAAGAGATGAGCAATTTAGATTTAAGTAACCATGGAAAGTGAAATACATATTGCATAAAACAAGCCTAGATTTATTTTATTAAGTATTATAACAATTAATGCAGGGTTCTAGTATCAGCAGCAGGATCAGCAAGAGAAAAACTTTATTTTGGCGTTTAATGTTGAAATTAGTATTAATTTGAATCTAGATGTTTCTCCCCCGAGGGAATATCAAAATAACATAGGTAATAAGTAATCAGTATTTACAGTATTCACTGATTATAACTGTTGGGAACAGTTGCACCAGCAATACCAGTAATACGGCAATAAACCTTTCAGATGTAGTGCTGCCTTACAGCACTTAACATCTAGCCTACAAATGTCTTTGCCACAATAAATATGGTGGCTTTTAAGCCATCATTAACTTGCAGAACTACCATTCTAGACATTGTTCTTATCTTGATTATACTTAAACTGGGCACAGAAGTATTATAGACCCATTGAATCTATCACTTTTGGATCACACTGCAGTTGGGGCCTAGAGATTCATGTATTCACACCTGTCAAAGATGTGGAAAGGATGGGCAATGTGCAAACAGTTTCATGGGCAAAACATTCTGACCTTGGAAGGCACCATGTTGAGGTTGGAACTTTCAGATCATGAAATGCACCCCTCCAGATTCTAAATCCACATTAAACCTTTCGTCTACGCAATGTTTATTGTTGTAAGATTTAATGCCTTTCTGCATGCTTAAGGAATTAGAAGGAAGTTGCTTTTCACCACTTAAGTCAGGGTGGGCGACCTAGGATCTACACGTGACCCTGAGCACCCCATTTGTGACTCTTGGCCTTCAGAGCTACTGCCATTGAAATTTGACAGCAAAATAGCCAAACAGCAGCAGCAGCATTTTTATGTTCTTCCTGAAATATGAAGGAATAGTAGGAATGGGAGCAGAGGCCTCTAAGGCCTACCATTTCGAAGTCTTTCAGGTTTTTAATATTTGAAGGGAATATTACTAGTGGAAATAGCCTGAGAGCCATCTGTTCCATCTGCATCCCCCACGCCAGTGGTCTGAGATTGGCTCCCAAAACAGTAGTCTCAGGCTCCCAGAGGCCCCACCTTCCCCTTCGCACTCTTAGCCACTCCAAAAAAGAACCAGAATTTTCATCCCACCCTCCTGGGGCCCTATAGAAAGTCACAAGGCTCAGTTACTACCCCCAACCCCTCAAATTGTTGGTTTCCTTACATTTCTAATGAAATTGCATGCCTTGCAGTAGAAATAGACTTACATGGATACACCAAAATTTTCTTCTTCTAAAGTCTCCATTGTTGCTTTGTCACCTGTGTTTATGAAGAAAACGTTTTAATAGGTTGACTCATTCTCAGAATACAGGGCACATCCAGCCACCCCCAATATGAATACCTCCATATGAGTGGTCTTCAACTCCCAGGATTCAGATTCTCTGTAACAGGGATGCCTGTTCTACAGAAAATAACTTGCCATTCTTGCATCAGGAAGCTTTTCATCTTAATCATTCATCATGGAGGATTTTTAATAATTAATGGTGAGGGGAGAGCATGTTGACACTGGTCAAAGGTATTGATCAAATAATGGCATGGCACTAAGGGGCCTTTGATGATTCCAAGAAAATGTCTATGGTTGCCCATCTTAAATTAATAACTCTGGACAGCTAACAATCAGTACACAAGAGGAAAAAAACTGACCAAAAAACCCCCCCTATAAGCCAAACCAAAAACCAATTAAAAAATAATCCTTCAGAAGAGGAAATAGCATTCAAGATTTTTGCTGCAAGTTGCACCAAGCCTGTAGACCTTCAATGATTCCATACATACAAGATTTGGGTGTACATAATGCAGTTGTCATTATCGCCTCCTGTGAGTTCACAGAGTGAACCCCTGGTTACTGTACCCTAATATGGAATCCAAACTTTATTAATTTTATTTAAGAGGGTGCAGTATGTGGGGGTTCACTTTGTGTGAGGATCTGGCCGTTCTGAACATGGCTTGTGATTCCTTCTTCTAATTCTTGGATTTTTTAGAAGTTAAGCTGAATGGAAAACTGCAGTCATACCCTAAAATCTGGCAGACTCCCACCCTCCCAGAAGACCTTGAAGGGCTGGCTCTTCCTGCAAGGGTTGGGGTAGAGTGAGGCTGGAGCCCAGTATAGTTGAAGGTGGATGTGAAGGTGGGGTATATTGTCTTTGGGGTGTTGGGAGTTTTGTTATAGTTTTCATGTTTTTGTTGTTATTTTGTGAGCTGCCCAGGGTTATGGTCCGTAAGATGGGCAGCTACATCAAATTTTTTAAATAAAATAAATAAATAACCCCCTAATAAGACATCTTCCTTCCAAAGAGATCTTCTAGAAACAGAACAGTATTCAAGATTTAAGCAAAACATTAGGAACAAAAGAGAGTGCAGCTCCAAGGATCCATAAGATGCATCTATTTAGGACTGTATAAATAGGAGGCCAGTGGATAAAATAGAGGTTTATACAGCGATATGTGATTCTCCCTTACAGCCAATGATTTGAAAGTGTTTGGCAGGAAATCCATGACAATCAAAACCCATTGTTTGTGTAATTCACACTAGTGGTTGGCTGCTGTGCGAACCAAGGATACCATTGCGCTAGAGAGTTACTTCATGTACTTACCCAAAAGATCTCTTGCCATTTTCCTTTAAAATAGCTTCCCACAATCTGGAGCCCTCCAGATGAGTTGGGATAGAACTGCCATGCCTCCCCCAGCCAGCACAGCCAATGGACGTGGGGAAGCTGTGGGCCAACATATTCAGATGGCACTTGATGAGGGAGGAAGCTGACATAAAATCAATGAGAAATTCCTGGTGGGGAGTTTAGCCACTGCTAGTGGGCAAAGTGGGACCTTAACCAGGACTATGGTCAAATCTGGGTGGCCAAACCCCAAATGACCACTAGAGCCTGCCAGGAAGTCCCTTGCTGCCATCTAGTGATCGTCCATATTCATGCAGCTGAGATCTGGTCATCTTACCTTAATCTTTCAGGATGTTAATTCTCCTTTAGAAATCTTTTATTGCTACAGAGATGAATGAGGGGGTGCCATTGGGCTGAGTTCCGCCCAGGGATGCACCAGCTCCCAGAATTCCCCAGGGAGCATGGGGAATTCTGGGAGATGAAGTCCACCCATTTGGAGGGCATCCACACTGACCAACAGGGATCCTGTATCAGTATATGTTATTCGTGGGCCTTTTATCAGCAGAGAAGGAGAGCCATAAAACAAATGTCAGAAAAGGCAACTGCCATAAAACCCAACCCTTTTTGAAATGCTGCTAAATTAATTAATTAATTAATTAATTAAATGAGTCCTTTGGGCCTGAAGCAGCTTTGAAATGCTACTAAATAAACAAATAAATAAATTGAAATAACTAGAATAAATAAGTCCTTCCGGCCTGGGGCAGCTTTGAAATGCTGCTAAATAAATTGAAATAAATAAATGGAAGGGCAGCATTTAGCCTGTACAAACATTTAATACCGAATTCACTAAAAAGACAGGCTGCTCCTGGAGCAAAAGGGGGCTGTGGTGAAACGGGGAGGCCGTTAATCGCCGCTGAAGGACCCCAGCGGCTCTTCCTATCGAAGGGCACCCCTCTTGAACCGGGAGATGGAGCCTCCCGCTTCAAGCGCAGTCCACCTTCGGCCATGGTGGGCAGGACGGCCAGGGACCCCCGCTTTAACAGCGACAGGCGGCCCAGGAGGGCTTCTACCCATTTCTCCGCGCCGCGCCGCTCACCGGATTCAAACCAGAAACGAACGCCGCGGCTTCCCCATCGAGTCCGTTAAAAGGGCCGCTACTCTCTCCCTCCCGTTGCCCGGGAAACGGCCACTTCCGGTAACGCAACCTTCAGTAGAGAGCCAATCGGGAGGAAGGGGCGGGGCGGAGCGGGGCGTCTCTGCTCTCTGAGGAAGGCCAATCAGAGGCGGAGAGGGCGGGGCTTGTCCCCTCTCACCAGGCAAACACGTGGCGGTTGGAGTGGGCTGGGCGCTGGTTGGCTGCCAGGCGGAAGGCGTGCGCGTGTGTACATGTGTCTGTGTGAGCGAGCGAAAATGCTTTCTATAAGACACGTGTCGCCCCTTTGATGCCCTCCAGATGGGTGATAACTCCCTGAAGCCCCAGCTGGCACGACCAATACAGGCGAGGGTCAGCGAGAATGTGCTTTGCAAGTCCGCCCGTTGAGTGCTCTTCAGACGCTCACAAGGCCCCCAGGGGCATTTACTGACCAACCCGGAGGAGAGACTCTCTAGCTCAGGTTGAACTGTGGAGCCCATCATCCTCAGCGCGAGTGAAGTTAGTGGAACCAAGTTGGGCAAATAACCAGGCTCCGCGGGCACCTAAACCGCCACATTAGGGAAACTCGACTCCAGCGCACCGGAGGATGCCGTCAGGCCCTGGCGAGCGAGCGAGCGAGCGAGCGAGGTCGTCGGCAGGCAAAAGCCACTTCTCGGCGTCCCCGGATCTGCGGAGGGGCGGCACGGAGGCACCGCCGGTGCTGCGGGGAAGGCCGCGTAGAAGCCGCGGGAGCCCTCGCGACAGGCGCCGAGCATGGCTCTCCAGCGCCGAAGGAGCAGCGGCCGGGGGAACGGCCCCGCGGCTCTCGAGGGGACCAGGTGGCCCTTGGGCGTCGGTCCGAGGGAAACGCTGAATCCGCAGAAAGGCAGGGAGCTCTGAGCATTTAGGATTAGGGTTCTGCTGAATGCAACTCTGCTGCTGGGGAGAGTGTAGAATTGCAGCTGTAGGAGCCGGGAAAGAGGGTTAGGCACATTAGCCACTAGCCCAGATGATGGACCTTTGAGGGCGAAAACAACGCCTTCCGTTGCCCCCGTGATACGCCCTTTTCAGCTAGGCCAGGCGTACTTCGTGGCCTTTGACGTCTGGAGTTGGGGTTCAGCTTCGGGCGTTGCAGGCAGAGAAGCAACAGCTGTCCACAAATGACCACCTCGGTGGTCTTCAGCTGCTGCGCTCTTTAGCGTGAACAACTGTCTTCATGCCAGCTCTTGACTGCTGAAGTTGCAAGTAAAACAGCGGAGGCCTAAAGCTTGTTTTCTTCTTCCCTCCCCCGGTCCGTTTCGCTTGGTGTCATGCCTTTTCTGTTGCGAGCCCATCTTCGTGGGGTGTTCCCCCCTTTTTAAGCAGCTCTGGTGTTTTCCTGGCGAAAGTGTGTCAGATTGGTTAGATTAAAATACACCGTCAAAGTCACAAAGTTATCAGGAACTGATATAACTATAGTTATAGTTTTTGCTGACATCACAATGTTAAGTGCCGGATGTTTTGGGAGGCAATCTCTATCACTTTTTTGTTTCCGTAACCTAACATGAAGCGCCTATTTTCAGAAATTTAACTTTTAAATTCTACCGGGTTTCAGAGTGCCAAGTTCTATCAACACCCCCCCCCCCAATGCTAGTAAAAGACAAGAGGCAAAAATCAAATCTCTCTCTAATCTTAAGTGAAATGCCACTTTAAGATTTATTAATCTTTAAAAATATCATGCATACTTACTTAGCATGATGTGTAAATATTTACACATTTGTTTTGGGTCCACTGTATGCTAATGAAACGCATCAGCATCTTGGGACAGACCATCCCGTTATTCGTCTGAATCCAATGTAAAGAATCAAATCAAATTATCGCTTGGGTGGCTACTGGCAGTGCACTGCCTCCATTTTTATGTTTGCTGCTGCACGTGTTCATGTTTTTGAACCTTGCTCTTAATTATTTGCTTAAGAACATATTGAACATTTAAACTATACTGCAAGATTTATCATGATAGCCTGTGCTTTGAAACTTGTATTTATCTTCCTTACTTATCGTAAGCAGCTCAGAGTCTTATATTGAGTAGAAAGGTGTGAAACCAAACCAGAATGAATCAATCATCTATTTTGAAGACAGCTGAGAGAAAAGGCTCTGCATCACCCAGGTAGCTATCATTCAGGTCGAATCACTGACTACTCAGAAGGCGAATGTTGACTGAATGCACAGCGCAGAACCGCGCACGTGCAAATATTCTGCGGTGAGCAATCTTCCCAACAGAAAGCAATTGTTTGCAGGAGCAATTTTAGTTTGTACATTAACTAGCTTGCACTGTTCATTAACAGCTGGAAGTGTTGTGCTGCTTTGCTTTTTTATACAGGTTTGCTGGGATCTTGTTTCAATTTCTGCTCTCTGCAAAAGGCACAATTATCTCTTGCATTCCTGAACTTGCTGCCCCACCTTTTAATCTGCCCACCCAGCACAGCACAATGTAACACCACACATCAAGCGGCCTCTGGCCCAGTGCATTTTTTTAACCCTAAGAATGACTTAACAGAGGTGAATCTGTTGCAGCAGAAACAGGTCTTGGGCACCTGAAAGTTCGTGAAGTGCAATGCGATGCATGAGTTCTTAACAATATCAAGATGTTCTTTTTACCATAAGGTCTTGCTGATTTTGCAGAACTGAGCATGTTTGTTGGCAAACATTATACAACTTTCATGCCTATGCTTGAGACCAAACAGCGAGTGAGAAGGGCTTTTCTGGCAGAATCACAGTTAGTGTTTGAAGCAATACGATCTAAGTATTCCTTCAGATTCTTGCCCTCTGCCCATCTCATGGTGATCTGTTCCTCTTGGCTTTCCCTCTCCCCCTGACTCTTGTCCCTCCAGCTGCAGTCCTTCAGGGCCCTCTCTTGAACAAGATGAAATGGGCATGAGGTGGCTGAGGAGCAGAAAAAGGCTACAGGAAGGTAAAATGTGCAACGGTCTTCCAAGATAGCAGTGCAGTTGTAAATATGGATCAAAGCCACCACACTGAATTTTAGCTACATCACATGCTTACAATACCTGGAGGTTCTTCTAAGTTCTTAAGATGGAAGGAAAACTTAAAATTCAGCCAACAATAAAAATACACATAATCTCTAAGGAAAGAGCTGGAAAAAAAATAGTTTTAACATTAAGAACAGGGTTATAAGGCAGCTACTAGATATTAAATACATCAGCATGCTGGCTTTGGCTTGGCTTGGTAATCACTTGTTGAAGACTAGGGTGGTGCTGCTCATTTTAACCTACCCAGGCCTCTTATAAGAGACTTCCAATACCTGAGAAACTATGTCTCCGTGTGGCAAATAAAAACGGCAAAGATGGGAATGGGACTGCTTCCTAACCATAATTCTCTGCAGGGTATGAAGGCGTAGACATCTTTTAGGGGCAGGTATGTCATTGAATCTATGTGATGCATTAAAATGCTTTAAAGCAATAATCACGTACCATCAAGTTGTTTTTGACTGCTAGCAACCACATAGATAATTTTCTCCATGCTAAGGCATTAATGCACCTCTTTTAAAAAGTGCAAATGGATATGGTATAAAAAACTATGTTAGGCAAACCCAGTGGGATTTCCCCCCTACTTTCTCGAAGCAAATGATTTCCTCTTTTTCCCTTCTACTTCCCTTCCTCAATCACAATCTGCTTTTAACTTTGGATCTGGCACTTCTACTTGAAGATGACTGCAAGGCTGAAATCTACCTAGAAACCAGAACCACTTGCAAGGTGTTTAGTATCTTGCCCAGGTAGCAGAAAATTGAAGACTCTTTTTCAGATCAGTAGATTTAAATCTGAAGCATTATGGTACTAAAACTGGATGGGGTGGTATTCAAGGATGTGTGCATTCTGACTCTCAAGGCAAGAATCTTGTGACACTGCAAAGACTACAGCTTTGCAATGTGAAAAATTTCATGGCCTGGGGAAGGCAGCCACGGATTGCCTCTGTGAGGGGCATCACATTCTTCTAGCCTGTGTGCTGCGCAGAAGCCTCTCCAAGCTACTAGAAAGGGTTGGAGGCAAGCACAGAAGTAACATGAAGCAATGCGGCAGCTTTACTCTGCATCTAAAAGCAGGAGGCCACATTGCTTTTTAAAGAATTTGGAAGGGCTGCTTCACTCAGAAGACTGAAAACACCTCTTAGCAGCTTTGCAGAGCCCTACTGAATAGCTTTCTAACTACAAAGGCTGATGTCTGTGTATCAGGTACTCATCAGTCCCAATTCTATTGCCCATCAGCAACTCCTAGATCACCTCTTCTTCTTTATATGAGTCGGCGTGTACATGAGAATTTCTTTTATAAAATATTCCTGACATATTACTAATTTTAAACCTGGGAATCAGTTTTGAGGCAGGGAGCTGCTAACTGTTAAATATTAACAGTTAAATAATTAAATGTGTGTTCAATTTTCACTCCCCATCTACTTTAAAAATCTTTTTCTGGGCCTCGGCCTCTTTGTGGTGCAACTGCAAAGATGGGTGCAACTTTTATTTCAATAACAGTTGCATATCCCTGACCTTTGCAAAAATAAATGTGCTAGCATGAAGTGTGGCAGTGGTGTGTCATGCCATAAACTGAAAACAGGGTTATGCAATTTCTCCTCCTCAGTCTTTCCTGATTCCAGCCACTTTTTGTAACATTTTATTCTGCTCTTGTCTCAGAAGCTTATCTGTAATGTTAATCATCTTAAGAAAGGAATTAGTTAATTGTGGATTTGAGATTTTTTCCCCTCTCTCTCTCTCTCTCAAGGTCGGCCACAGCTTACTTCATCTTGGGATGAACATTTTGATATGGCTTTGCATTATCTTACAAGTTCTGCTACTTCAGAAATCCACAAGGAACTAGGAGCAAGATTGATGCAACTGTTTTACGGAAGTACTATGTAGCCGAAAACTTTCCATAATATAAAAATTAGTTAGAATCTGCTTAAATAGGAGTTAACCAAATCAAGCTATTTGCTATTCAAACATGTATTTCTTCAAAACAATATTAACACATTTGCTCCATGTTCTTTCCAGATCTTAAGATCTATAGCTCAGTATTTTCAAAATGTACAGAACTTGCAAGAACAGATTTTTTAAAAAAAGCAATGATCAATGGTACCTTAAAAATACCTAGAATATCAAACTATCTCCAGTCTGTTGCTGCATTTATAAGAATTCCTCCTGAAAATTAGTTTTCTTTTCACAAAATTGTAGATACTGAAACTGAAGGAATTAGAAATACTATGAATGAAAATAACCAATTTTCATCAGAAATCAGTTTCTTCATGTAGATTTCAAGTCTCTAACATTTTCATGCTAACAGTCCAAAATATATATAGGGGTGTACTCTGACCAGCAGGAAGCTACAGTGACAAAATAATAAAAATAAAAATGCATAATGGCTGCCAAAACAAAGGCTTTGGGAAACAGATATGTCCCCATTTTAGGAGATTATGCATTATATGTTTCCAGTGCAAAGTCTTCAGTGTGTAAGGAGGAGGAGTTAGGAAGGAAAAGCAAAAATTAACCAGAGAAAGGAATCAAGGCCTTTCCAACAGTCTTGGCTGAAGATAAATTAACAGGTAACTCAGCTTTCACCACCAACTTTCATTACTGCTAAAAGAAAGCATCCCGACTATGAGGCTGTGGAGCAATTTAACAGGCTTCCATCTGTGGTCATGGTGACAGGATCAGGCTGGGCTTCTGGTGGGGGAATGAGGTGGGGCGGGGCAGACCTCGGTTTGAGCTGCCTTTCTTCTGGCACTGGATGGAATGGATCAGAGGCAAATCCACAAGAGACAGTTCTCCCTGTGTCATGAGATGTGAGCAATCTGTCGGACACGGGTCTGTATTTCTTGCCGACACAAAGGGCAGGTTTCTAATTGCAAGGCACACTCCATGCAGAGATCACTAAAAAGGCAAGGACACAATATAGGTTACTACGGCAGTTTCTTCCCGAGGAGCAACAAGCAAACTTCAAGTGTAAAACAGTGCAAAATACATTCATAGTTATTGTGGGTTTGGCACAGGCACATCTATCTTTAAGGAAATATTTGGAATGAACCCGGAAAGATAGTGCATTCTGGGGCAAGAATTTACTATGTGGATATGGGAATGCATAGATTTTAAGCAAGCAAAATCCATTTTCTCTTAGCAGATCTAGTCCAGAGAAACTTGGGAATGAAGAGACAGAGGCTCGAGGGAAGAGAATGAATTGGTCTCTTCAGACCGCAGGGAGTCACCGACACGACGTCCCTCTAGAAAACTAGAACAGCACTAAACAGGTTGGTTGACAGCTCCCAAGACTTTAACAGGGAAAGCAGCATACAAAAACAACCTTCCTCTCTTGCACCCTGAAGCTGCACATCAATGTGATGGTGATCTGAATGTTGTGATGCAAGACCCTGTCACTGATGCACAGGCAAGAGATGGGGTTTGCAACATAATGCTCTGTCTGCCACGTTGTTGATTTGGACACATACACCGAATGGCTGTGTATCTAGATCACTGTTCACTATACCACGGCAATGGGTATCAGGGAAATTACAAGAAATATCTTATCAAAAGTCACTGTTTCTTGAAGTACCTGTGTCCACATGGCCTGAGTTCTGTGTCAGCTATTTCGTCACAGCAAAGTGTACAGCAATTTTCTCGTATGCTCACTTGCTTTAACAAGGCCAGGCGTCTATGTCTGCAGATTAAATAGGAGGAGGTGAAAAATACACACATAACTGACAATATATCAAGGCATCACATTCACACCAATAGAAGCAACACATTAACTCCTCATCCAAGAAAGACAATCATTTAATATCTGTAAATAAATATAAGAAGCAGGGCACAAAAGTATATCCCGGCCTTTCAGATTCATGCACATTACCTTGGTAAAATGATTTTCTCTTCTGCTGTCAGAAATGCATAATCATTAAAGGTGTTAAATTTTGCAGATGGTGGGTATTTGAAAGGCTTTGCTCCAAAGTTGAACTCACATTGTTGATAGGACATGAAACTAGCTGCAGCAAAGAAGCCAGAGCTGTGCAATAAAGGAGGAAAAAAATCAGTGCAACAATACAAATTGCCTAACACACGTAAATCTTCCCAGGGTGAGCCTGGGAAATACCCATGATTTTAAAGTCAGCCACTGGCTGTGCGTCTTTAGTGGCTCTCTAAAAGCCGGACCACAACCTTTATCACCCCCAATCCTTTTTTTAACCTGCTGGGAAGCCACATCAGAGAAGTGGCATTCACAGCCTTGAGGTGCTGTTTGACCCGATCTTTGTTCCTGAAGGCATACATGACTTCTGTAGCAAGGCATGATTTTTATCAGCCTGGGTTGACAGGCACTCACATGCTCTACATGGAGCTGCCTTTGAAAACTACGAAAGCGCTGTGTGGCTTTGAATATGGCAGCCACATCACTAACTCAGACAGAGTGGTTAGATTATAGCTTATCAGACTAAGCTTGTTGCATTTATTCTCAGCCCATTTCTACACTAAATAAATGTGGTGCTTTCTACTTTTAGATCCTTAGACTTACAATCTAGGTAGCTAAAGGACTCCCCCTATGTGTTTACTAAAATCTTCTGTAGGCATTCCCATCACCTAGAGCAGACCAGGCGGTTTTTGGGGAATGGGGGCCTTCTCAGTGATGGCACTCTAATAAATCGATCTGGTACTACATTGCTGTCCTTTGGATTCAAGCAAATCTGTTTCTGTATGCCTAGGCCTTTGACACTTAATTAATTCTCATTATTCTAATCTGATTCTTATATGTCTACCTTTCTAATTTTTATTTCTATTAGTAATAATATTTTATATCTTTCTCAATGTTTCCTTCTGTGTCAAACTGCCACTGAACTCTCAACTGAAGAACAGCATACACGCATCTACAACCATCTAGAAGACATTAACATTAACAAGCTTTCAATGACTTTGGTACATCATTTACAGGGCTTGATGAAAACATGGGTCAGTCGGAGCAGCTGCGTCTCCCTTTCTAAGCTGCAGGGACTGGAATTTCAAAATTGCTGTATCCTGTTAAGATAGAAGCCTCGAGATGTGCTTTGAGAAAACGCAAGAGGAGCAGAAAAACAGTCCCAGAAGACACAAAACAAGGATCTCTGGCAAAGGAAGGGAAGGAATAATAAGGGAGTTGGGTCAGCTGTACTTGAAAAGGGAGGGAAAGAACTATTTTAAAAGAAAGGGGACCAAGGCAAAGCCATGCCAGTGCTCCCATATAAACCTATCCCAGGATTTTTAAAACCAGGATTTATTGCACAAGCCACAGTGGTTTAACACTGTATTAAATCAAAATGGGTGGATCTACCCATCATGCTTGGAAAAAACACAAGCCAACAAATCCTCGTTGTGGCTTAATATTTGTCTGAATCAGACCGATCTGTGTATACAGCTGGGCTCTCTTAGGGGCATGAAGTCTTTGTGCTTCTCAAGGCTGGTACAAGGTCAAGCCTTATTTCACTAAATATTAGTAATTCTGCAAAGATGGACACCTATTGTAAAATGGTCATCACCCCCAGAAGAATGTACTTACACAGCCGACGAAAACACTTGCTTCTCAGCAGGAAGCTGGTTCCCATTTAAATAAAAAATCATTTTTTTCTCTTGTAGGTCTAGTAGAAATCCTATAGTGTCACCTTAGTTAACACAAGAAAAAAAAGTTACTGAAACACAGACATCATCAAGATGTGTCCTGCGAAAGAGGAACTGGGAGATCAGGTTTTATCTGACAACTGCTGAAAGGGCCCAAAATCCATTTCAGTTAGGCTATGTTTGTGCTGCCCTTAACACTCAGTCCGTACTATGCAATGGGTTTGCAACAATCTATGGACTTGTGTTTCCATGGTCCCCACTTTTGTGTTGTTTCTAATCCTATTAATTGAAAACCTTTTAATAAATATTTATACACCTAGAAAATATATACAGACTGCTCTGTACAAATTAGGCTTTTGCAAATTAAGAGCCAGTTTTGCAAACAGGAACGCTGCCTTGGAATAAATCCTATCTTCTTTCTTTTTGCAGCTTTAACCATACAGTGGGGCAAAAAAGTATTTAGTCAGCCACTAATTGTGCAAGTTCTCCCACTTAAAAAGATGAGAGAGGCCTGTAATTTTCATCATAGGTATCCGGCAACAATG